TTGAGATTACAAGCGCATGTACTATGGTAGTGAGCACCCCCGTGTCAAGGTTGCAGCCGGGCAATCCGCCAAAGGTGGAAAAAGGCAGTGCGGACCACCGACGCCACCTGCGTTTCCATGGTGAGCATCGGGTCCAGGTGTATCCCCAGGCTGCGGACCCCACACTTCGTGGCCAGGGACACCCCCAAACATGAGGGAGTCGCCCAAGCCCACACCCTCAGGGCCACCCACCCTCAGGACTTCCGTCTTGTCCGGATTTTATTGACATGATAAATCTTTCCTCCATGTCCCTCAATTTTAATTGCTGTATCATAAAGTTCCGGTTCAGATTGTCAAATGCCTTTTCTGCATCTAAAAAGATCATAGCCATTGATTTCTCTAGATGTGCTTCATAATATTCAAGTATATTTAGACTCACTCAAAGATTATTTCTCATTTTCCCCTTTGGTAGGAATCCAGATTGATCCTGGTGAATTATTTGTAAAAGAACCTTTTTCAATCTAGTTGCCAATATTGTAGCATAAATTTTATTACCCAGGCGTGATATTGGTCTGTAGTTTTTTATTTCCATAGCTTCTGTTCCCTCTTTATGAATGTTAGTAATTAATGCTTCTGTCCATGTTGGCGGGATTTCTCCTTGTACTATTACTTCTAGCAGTTTTTTTATGGCTTAAGCCAGACCTGGGCAAAATGTGGCCTGTGGGCCACATTCGGCCCGTGAGCCGCTCCTGTCTGGCCCGCCAGTTGTCGCTCCTGTCCGATGTTCAAGCACTTGTTCAAGCCCAAGACAGACTGGATTTCTCTCACTGAACAAGTTGAACATCAAAACCATTTCTAGCTTTTTGTCTAAAGTTGATCAGTTGCTTATCTTTAGCATACCGCAAAAAACCTCTTTAGTATTTGTGAAGATTAAAAAGTTTAATATAAAAACAATCATAACATCACTGTTTCATTTTATTTTCGAGTAGAGTTGGTTCGGCCCCCAAACACAGTTCAGATTTTTCATGTGGCCCCCTATAGAAATTAATTGCTCACCCCTGGTTTAAGCAATATATCCTCAAAAGTTTTGTAATATTCTGCCAGAATCTCATCTCCTCCTCGGGATTTTCTGTTCTTTTGCTTCCTGAAGACTTTTGCTATTTCACTAAATGAATCAGTATCTGCTTCTGTTCAATTGTCAGCTTTATATTACTGTTTTTCCCCAAATATCCTCCCTGTTTCTCTTTGGGAATCTCCTTTTCCCCGATATAAATTTTGATAACATTTCTCTACAGTCCTCTTTATTTCTTCCTTTTTAATTTTTATCACTCCCTCCTCATCTTTCAAGTTCTGAATTATGGATTTTCCTCTTTCTTTCATAGTTTATATGCCAGCCATCTTCCTGGTTTATTTGCATTTTCAAAAACATTTTGTCTTGCAAATTTTATTCTTTTCACCATTTCTTCTGTCATCAAAATATTTAATTGATATTGTGTTAATTTTGTCTTTCATCCTCAGTTTTATTTTGTTGAGCTTTTGCTTTAACTATTTTTCAGACAAAGACAATGTCTTTTCTATTTCTCAATATTTTGCCACCATCTCTTTTTTTTCTTGCTGCAAAACGTATTATTAAGCCCCAGAAAAAGGCTTTACTTGCTTCCCATACTGTACCCATTGATGTTTCTGGAAGCGTGTTAAGTTTAAAAAAAATGCCCATCTTTTCTCTTATTTGTTTTGTAGACATATCATTTCTAAAAGGCTTGTATTTAGTCTCCAATATAAAGATATAGATCCCGTTTCCAATTGCATCAAGATATGACTATGATCTGCAAAGGTATCAGGCAAAATGTCTATTTCCAATACCTCTTTCATCCAACCTAATAAGATCCAACATGTATCAATTCTTGACCAACTTTTATGTCTGACCGAATAAAATGTAAAGTCTCTTGCACTTGGATATCTTGTTATCCAGGCGTTAATCATATTAAGCTCACTAATTGCAAAAAGGATTTTGACAACACATTTCTTGTTGCTTTTGTCTTCCCTTCTCCTGAATTTATATCTAAATATCTATCAAAAACAACATTAAAAACTTCCAAAATGCAATACTTCTTATATTCTCTCACTACTATTTCTTTTTGAAGTTCTTCATAGAACAGTACATGATTTTCGTTGGGGACATATATATTAACAAGCAGCAGCTTTTTTGCCTCCTTTTGGAATTTTGACATTAATATTCTTGCATCCTCAGACACAAAGATTAGTTTGGGGTTTAATTCCTTTTGTATGTATGTTGCCACACCTGTCTTTTTCTTATTTGAATCTGATGCTATAAATAATTCTCCTAATTTTTTATTTTCTAATAGGTGTTGGCCTGTTTTTTTCATATGAGTTTCTTGGAGGCAGATAATATCCAATTTCAATTTCTGCAATTATTGGTAAATTCTTTTACATTTTGAAATGAATTTAAACCTTTATGTTGACTGAAAAAATTGTTTTTTATTCATTTGATCCATCTTTATTATTAAGATTTTCTTTCTTCCTCTTGCATCTTTTTGCTTCGAAGGTGGGCTTCCCTTTTGCCCCCTGTTTGGTCTTCTGGCTCAGATTTTGAATTTCCTTCTGAATTTGGACCTGATAATCCACTTGATTTTTCCTCTTCCTGTTTTTCATCTGCCTTTTCCCTTCTTTCCTCCCTAACCATATCCCCTGTTTTTCATAAAGTCTTCTGCCTTAATTGTTAATAGAATATCTCTGCGACTGGAATTGGAAAAATGCACCTTCAGGCATCAATCACTTATATATAATTAAATTTGCTCTCAAGAGATTTGTCAGCTCTGCATATTGCCTCCTTTCCTGTCTTATTTGCCACGGAATATGTTTCAGAATCTAAATTCCTTTCTCTTTTATTGTAGATGCTTTGTTTGGCATGTTTCTCAGAACTTTTTTTCAACATGAATTTCTCTGGGGAGTTTATTATTCCTGGTACATGCTATATTAATTCTTTGTGCTGTATTTAATTTTTGCTGTACCTTTTCTAGTTGCATCTTTGTAAGTGGGGCTAAAAAGTTAAACACTTGTATTGTGTCTTCACCATTTTGGTCTGGAAGATTCTGGAGTCTAAGTATGAGGTTGGTTCCCTCCATTTGTAGCTTTAACAAGTTGGTTTCATCTTGTTTTTTTTTTCATGTTGAATCTCTTCCAGTTCTGCATTCATTGTCTCCACTTTTTCTGTTTTTTTAAAGGCTTTAGCTATTTTAACTATTTCTTTTTTGTTTTGTGTAATTTGGTGTTTAATATCAGTCTTTTGGATCCCTGAGTCTTTGATTTGTTCCGATAACTGAGCCATCTCTCCTTGTATCTGCTTTAATCATGTAGATAACATCTCTTGAATGCTATGTTGTCAGTCCTTAAGTGACCCTTGTCCCAATAATTTACTCAGGCTTTGTTCTTGTGCAGATGAGCCTCTTGGGGTTTTTTCTTTCCCTCCATTCACTGCCATACTTCCAATTTTTAAAATGTATGTATGTATGTATGTATGTATGTATGTATGTATGTATGTATGTATGAATGTATGTATGTATGTATGTATTTATTTATTTATTTATTTATTTATTTATTTATTTATTTATTTATTTATTTATTTATTTAAATGCTGTTTGGATCTACTCCCAGCAGGTATCACTTTTACCTTCCCTTTCTGTCATAACAACACTGTTTGCATAGAAAATCCAAGATGTGGATTAGTTTCCCTCTAATTAAAATGTTCTCACAGCCACTAAGACAAAACAATGAATGTTTAAGGGAACAGACAGTGCCCTGAGGCAAATAACATTAGCAGTTCTATCTTTCTCTCCAGCCTCAGTAATTTAAAGTAGACAACTGGGGGGGGGGGGTCTTCTTTAAAATAGTTAATTTTGTTTAATGTCATTCTCCTTCCCTTTCCCCTTCTAATCAGAGCTGCTCCAGGCTGAAGGAGGAAGAGTTGCCTCCAATCCAATAATGGTCCACAAACTAAAGTTCAAAAGTTCTAATTTCTGACTCTAGGTACATCCATCAGCATTGCAATTAGGCAGTTTAAGGTTAAACAGTCCCGTGGGAGTCTTTGCATTTAATTCAAACAGTTCATTACCCAAAAAAGAACTTTTTCACCCCTCCCTCTTTCTCCTTCTCTCTTCCTTTCCTCCCAATCACAGTTATGGGGGGAGGCTCGCTGCTACTGCAGCTCAAAGAATTATAAAATCGGGGTGGGGGAACAGCCTCTACCGATCTTTCTCTCTGTCACCTCTGTTCTTCTACTGGTAGACCGTCCTTTTGCCCCCTAAATTGGGGTGCTTGGGGCATCGGTCAGTTTCAGGAAGTCTCCGGAAACCCGACCCGTCTCGCCACGACAAAACCCCACCTACCTGAATGTTGTTTTTAGACATAAACCATCTATGTATGTGTTAGTAATGCAGAATTCCTTTTTCCTAGCATATAAATGATTGTTGTAATCATTAGAGCTATTGAAAGTAATGTTGCTTACTTCCAGGAATTTGTCTATAGATGAGGGCAGTGCTTCGCTCGGTGCACAACTTTATTTCATAGCCTCTGCTTTAATAATGCTATCTATTTTGTTGTTACAAATCAAAGCATCAGCTGCTCAATTAATGGTTTTCTAAAAGTAACTTTCCCACCACTCCAGTTTTGGGCTGCTGAAGGATGTTGGAAAAGTTCTGTGTAAATAATGCTAATGTTATTTCTGGACTTGTATCGGTGGCAAGGATTTAAGCATGATGTCCCCTATCCTAACAAAAGCAAGATTCAAAGCTGTACTGGACCATGGTAACATTGCTATGTTGTAAATAATAATGCTTTATTTGATGCATAATATACCTGCAAAAGCAAAATCTCTCTCCAGTTATCTGTAAAGATTCTCAGTCATCCAGGTGAGGTTATCTGGAAGTTGAGTCCCGGCAACTGGGCTTCTTTCTTGTTAGGTTGAAATGTTTCATTAACAAGAAAGAAGTCCAGTTGCCGGGATTCAACTTCCAGATCTTTCTCCATTTCTTTGTCTGTTCTGTGGCTCATTGACCACATCCCAAAATAATATTTCACTGGAAGACTTTTCTGAAGTAAAGTCTTAAATAGTTTTAAATCTACCAAAAATAAAAATAAAATGCCTATTTGAGCAACAGTATCTCATACTAAAATACAACCAGGCCTCCATCATAATTTATTATATCGTCTGCCAGATTTGATAGGTTTAATTACTGTGATCAATGACCATATGATTTGCATCAGAAAAGTTTTATTTTTAATGCAGCACTGAAAATTAGTAACTGTATAATTAAGATATCCAATGCTGCAGAAAGAAGTGTTGAAAAGCATACTTATCAAGCTTGCTTTCTGTAAAGAGGCTCTGTAAAACAACTTGAAATGTAATGCTATAAAAATTCAAAGACATTATTTTGTTTACTAAAGTGCCTCAGTCAATTGGTCTGACCATCATTTGAACTGCTTTTAATGAGTAGGATCCACCTCTATATTCAGCCCAAAAAATCCCATCTTGGTGCTTGCTTCTGTAATGTCCTCCTCTGTACCATACTCCGTTTAGGTTAGAATGAGCACAGGCATTGTACCACCAGCCGCCTTTGTGAAAATGGGCACAGTTTCCTATGAAAAGACATAGATCATTAAGTGAAACTTACTGTTTTAATGTTCTTTGTGTCATCACCCAATAGAAGATTAAGCTTTCATATACTTTCATACATCTGATATTGTGCAAGCTTTTTTTTTGAGTGAATGGTGCTTCACTGAGGAAGAAGCAATTCCCATTAGACTGTGGGAGTAATTTTCTTATGCTTCGTCTTCAGTAGGAAAGCAGAGTTATTTAGACAGCTGTCTATGACAAAGTCAACAGATTTCCAAATATATCCCTCTTCTATTATCTCTCCCTAAAATAACTCACATTGGCCATTTAGCATGCAAAAATAGAGTATGATCCTCAAAATGACAAAACAGCAATGAGAAAAAAGGCAACCATATAACACACAGTTCAGGTAGCCTGATGATATCAACACAAGCAGGACATTCCAGATAAATAAGTTCCAAATAATTAGCTGGCTTAATCTGTCTCAGCATGTTGGTAAATGTGAAGGTTGGTGGAGATTAAAAAAGACAAAATGTAGCAGTATTTTAAAGATTACCAGAAGTATATAGTGTGAGCTTTCATTGTTCAAAATCTCACACTAAAATAAATCTTTTGGTCTTTGGGATGCTGCAATAATTTGTTTACCCCCCCCCATTATTTTTGCAACAAACAGCTAAATAAATGTGTGTCTTGGGGAATTTATGGGTGCTTCTTAAGAGCTGTTTCAAGGAAGTCTCTTGGCCAACAAAGATATTCTCCCAAGGTGAGACAAAATGCAGTCATAGGCACTTCATATCAGTTCAGATCATCACTGCTTCAAAGAAACACAGTCATGGCATGGGAGAACTGTCTGTGCACTGTAGTACCTTACTGTCACTGAGATGTAAAAGGTTCTCCTTAGGGATGCTTTAGTCCACTGCAGAAGTGTTCACAGATGAAGATTCCTAGCTTATAGATTACAGAATTTTCTTTCTTGCAAATACATCCATTTTTCAAGTATACAGCAGATACTGCAGATTTGCTGCCTTGGACATGTATTATTAGTACATGTTGTGGGGTTGTTGTTTTTCACCTTGGCCTCAAGCATGTTTATGAAATTCATAAGTGTACCTAGTTAGGTTGTCTTAGACTTCTTACCATTCATATATATTTTTACCTTTCATTGGAACTTTTTTCCTAATACAAAGGTTACAGAAGCGTTATGGAGTAGCTGCAATTTTAGTCCCCTTCATGGATTGCTGCCTTGTTGTGGCGAAGGGGCTTGAGGAATTCAGAGGACCTATGGGTTATGCTGTGCAGGGACATCCAAGACAGACAGGTCATAGTGGAGAGTTCTGACTAAACGTGATCCACCTGGAGCAGGAACTGGCATGCCACTCCAGTATCTTTGCCAAGAAAACTCGATTGACAGATACAAAAAGCTAAAAGATATGACGCTGCAAGATGAACCCCTGAGGTCAGAAAGCGTCCAGCATTCTACTGAGGAAAAGCGGAGGACAAGTACGAGTAGCTCCAGAACTAATGAAGTGGTTGGGCCAAAGCTAAAAGGACGCTCAGCTGCGGAGGCACCTGGAAGTGAAAGGAAAGTCCGATGCTGCAAAGAAAACTACTGCATAGGAACCTCGAATGTAAGATCTATAGACCTGGGTAAGATGGATGTGGTCAAATAGGACATGGCAAGAATAAACATTGACATCCTGGGTGTCAGTGAAATAAAATGGATGAGAATGGGCAAATTCAATTCAGATGATTATCATATATACTATTGTGGGCAAGAATCCCGTAGAAGAAATGAAATGGCCCCAATAGTGAACAAAAGAGTGGGGAAAGCTATACTGGAATACAATCTCAAAAATGTTAGAATGATTTCAATATGAATCCAAGGCAAACCTTTCAACATCACAGTTATCCAAGTTTATTCACCAACCACCAACGCCAAATAGGCTGAAATTGACCAATTCTATGAAGAATTACAACACTTTCTAGAGCTGACACCAAAGAAGGATATTCTTCTCATTATAGGGCATTGGAATACTAATGTAGGGAAGTCAAGAGATAAAAGTAACAAAAGGTAAATTTGGCCTTGCAGTTCTAAACGAAGCAGGGCAAGGGCTAATAGAGTTTTGTCAAGAGAACAAGCTAGTCATCACAAAGACTCTTTTTCAACAACACAAGAGGAAACTCTACACATGGACATCACCAGATGGGCAATAATGAAATCAGACTGATTATATTCTCTGCAACCAAAGATGGAGAAGCTCTATACAGTCAGCAAAAACAAGACCTGGAGCTGATTGTGGCTCTGATCATCAGGTTCTCATAGCCAAATTCAAGCTTAAACTAAGTAGGAAAAACCACTAGGCTAGTTAACTATAATCTGAAACAAATCCCTTAGGTATACACAGTGGAAGTGAAGAACAAATTTAAGGAACTAGATTTGGTGGACAGAGTGCTGAAGAAGTATGGATGGAGGCTTGGAACACTGTACAGGAAGCAGCAATAAAAACCATCCCAAAGAAAAGGAAATGCCAGAAAGTAAAGTGGCTGTCCAATGGAACCTTAAAAATAGCAGAGAAGAGAAGGGAAACAAAATGCAGGGGAGATGGGGAAAGTTACAGAAAATGGAATGCAGACTTCCAAAGAATAGCAAGGAGAGACAAGAGAGCCTTCTTAAATGAACAATGCAAAGAAATAGAGGAAAATAACAGAAAAGGAAAAACCAGAGATCTGTTCAGGAAAATTGGAGATATTAGAGGAACATTTTGCACAAAGATGGACATGATAAAGGACAAAAATGGGAGGGACCTAACAGAAGAAGAAGACATCAAGAAGCGGTGGCAAGAATACACAGAGGAATTATACCAGAAAGATCTGGATGTCCCAGACAACTCAGATAGTATGGTTGCTGACCTTGAGCCAGACATCCTGGAGAGTGAAGTCAAGTTGGCCTTAGAAAGCTTGTCTAACAACAAGGCCAGTGGGGGTGATGGCATTCCAGATGAACTATTTAAAATCTTAAAAGATGAGACTGTTAAGTTGCTACACTCAATATGCCAGCAAATTTGGAAAACTCAGCAGTGGCCAGAGGATTGGAAAAGATCAGTCTACATGCCAATCCCAAAGAAGGGCAGTGCCAAAGACTGCTCCAACTACCATACAATTCGACTCATTTCACACGCTAGCAAGAGTATGCTCAAAATCTTACAAGGTAGGCTTCAGCAGTATGTGGACCGAATACTCCCAGAAGTACAAGCTGGATTTCGAAGGGGCAGAGGAACTAGAGACCAAATTGCTAACATGCGTTGGATTACGGAAAAATCCAGAGAGTTCCAGAAAAACATCTACTTCTGCTTCATTGACTACGCAAAAGCCGTTGACTGTGTGGACCACAGCAAACTATGGCAAGTTCTTAAAGAGATGGGAGTGCCTGACCACCTTATCTATCTCCTGAGAAATCTATACGTGGGACAGGAAGCCATAGTTAGAACTGGATATGGAACAATTGATTGGTTCAAAATTCGGAAAGGAGTAGAGAAGGCTGGATATTGTCCTCCGGTTTATGTAAGTTGCATGCAGAATACATCATGAAAAAGGCTGGACTGGATCAATCCCAAACCGGAATTAAGATTGCCGGAAGAAATATCAACAACCTCTGATATGTAGATGATACCACTCTGATGGCAAAAAGTGAGGAAGAATTAAAGAACCTCTTAATGAGGGTGAAAGAGGAGAGTGCAAAAAATGGTCTGAAGCTCAACATCAGAAAAAACTAAGATCGTGGCCACTGGTCCCATCACCTCTTGTCAAATAGAAGGGGAAGATATGGAGGTAGTGACAGATTTTACTTTCTTGGGCTCCATGATCACTGCAGATAGTGACAGCAGCCACGAAATTGAAAGACACCTGCTTCTTGAGAGGAAAGTGAGGACAAAGCTAGACAGCATCTTAAAAAGCAGAGACATAACCTTGCCGACAAATGTTTGCATTGTCAAAGCTATGGTTTTTCCAGTAGCGATGTATGGAAGTGAGAGCTGGACCATAATGAAGGCTGACCACCGAAGAATTGATGCTTTTGATTTGTGGTGCTGGAGGAGGCTCTTGAAAGTCCCCTGGACTGCTATGAGATCAACTCTGAATGCTCACTGGAAGAACAGATTGTGAAGCTGAGGCTCCAATACTTTGGCCATCTCATGAGAAGACTCCCTGGAAAAGACCCTGATGTTGGGAAAGTGTGAGGGCAAGAGGAGAAGGGGATGACAGAAGACGAGATGGTTGGACAGTGTCGTCGAAGTTACCAACATGAATTTGACCCAACTGCGGGAGGCAGTGGAAGACAGGAGAGCCTGGCATGCTCTGGTCTATGGGGTCGCAAAGAGTCGGACACGACCTAATGACTAAAGAACAACAACAATGTTTGTATTTGTTTTGACACTCCTGTTAGTCAACAAGTTCCATGCATTCATGCTAGTGCAGGAGAAAGATTTTTAACCCCCTGGAGAAATAAAAATAGCTCCCTTTGGAAGCCCTGATGATTCATAATTATTCCTGGGAAGGTTTGATTTTCCTTAGAAACAAGCTTAATTCTGAAGTTTCTCCTTTTTGATGATGAGCGATTTTTCCAGCATACTGGCCAAAATCCTTTTCCGTAGCTATGTTTGTATACCATTAAATTGTGCAAACCATTGCAAAATGTACACAAAGGTGGAAGTTGTGTCTGGGAAGCAGTTTCACAGGGTTAATTGGTTACCTAGATGTTCAGTCAGACACGTGCACTGCTTGGGCATAACTTCTGCAGGCATAACTTTCTCCTACGATGAGTGCAACAGGATTTCAGCCATTTTGAGAGTCTTGAGTGAACCAACCTATGTGAGGAACCATGTGCAATTTGGGAATTGAGCAGTGCTACTTTTCTAAAAAGTTTCAAGTGCTAACAGAACTATTTATAGCTGCAAGTGTGCTTTCAGGACTTTCAGAAATGAGAACCTGTAATTTATGAGGTTGTATGTTAGCCATAGGCAACAACATACTCTGAATGGACCTGATTTTCTTTCTGCAGGTGAGCTTCATGTTTCATAAGGCTTAATCTCAAGACCTGATTATTACTCAGACCAGAGCATACTAAGGACAAAAAACTGCACATGGTGAAATCTAGTGAAAATTGCTAATGTCCTATCAAGACATACAAAGGTCTGGAAGCCTAATATTCATTGTAATGTAGTATGTGCTATCTTTTGCACATGATTTTACCACGGCAAAAGTAACACATTTGATGTAGATCATTATGCATACAAGTGTTTTGTGTACAACCCTACATTGCCTGTATTAAACTTGTATGATCATTGTTTACAGAATTGTCAAAACTTTCCATGCTTGAAAAGAAACATTTCCTCAATCTTAAGATAAGAAACACTGCAGTATATCTTACCTGTGTACATATCTCTGTCTCGGTCTAGTGTTGTAAATTGCTTCCCATTATGCCATATCATGGAATCACCAGCATTCCCTTGGTAAGTGCCTAAACGCAATCGATAAAATTCATTTTCTGGCTCCAGTCGGAAACTGCTATATTCTGCATAAACTTTCTTATTACTCCAGTCTTCTAGTTCAATTAGAAGTCTATAATTGTCCTGATTAGAAAGCAAGTGAATATTTTCCAGACCCAGCCAGTACTCTCCAGCAACATTTCCAAATCCTTTCTGTTAAAACGAAACAGAATTCAAATTAGATTGGCTTGTGTGTGGTGGTTAAAAAAATTGTACAAACAATAACATACCTATTTCATTGGCACTTTCAAACTTGTAGAATAAATTGATTCGTGGGCTAAGCATGTATTCAGTATTTCCTCTTTCCCTCTGTAGTGTTTAGCACTTGCCATCATTATACTATGCATTGCATTGGTTCTAACACTCTTGGCTAATTGAAGCAGACAAATCTACATGTTAATGTTACATATTCAGACCCAGAATGACTTATACTGAATATGTTGTAAGGGAAAAGATGACTTAAAATGGGCCAACATTTTCAGCAGCTGTCAGTAGCCATGTGATTTGACCTGTCTATAAAACAAATCTGCACAGATGTGTCTTCCTTGCCTCATGATAGGGATCAAATATTTTTAATCACTACATCCAGTCTCTGCAACTCACGTCTGCCCCAGATTAAGACCACACTGTCCTTTGCTTATCAGTGGTCCAGATGGGGAGGGGCAGGCTAATCTTAGAATGTACCACTCCTTTTGTTCAAAACATGGACCACCATTGTCCTTGCCAACCTGTACAGAACGCAGGGATGAATGTAGAGCCATACAAGAAGAGCCCCATTAGTTCTCCATTGTGGTGTGTTCCACACAGCCTCATCATCTCCCCAGTACTTTTTAGCATCTATATAAGGCCGCTGGGAGGGGTTATCCAGAGATTTGGAGTTTGCTATCATCAATATGCTGATAACATACAGCTCTGTTTCTCCTTCTCATCCTCAGCAGTGGAAGCTGTGCAGACTCTGGAGTGGTACTTGGCCTTAATTATGGATTGGATGAGGGCCAACAATTGATAAAACAGAAACAATGTTTTTAGGTAGAGAACTTGCCTGGTTAGGAGGTATTTTGCCTCATCTGGATGGGGGCACACTCCTCCTAAAAAACCTAGTCCATGACTTAGGTGTACTCCTGGACCCGGCTCTCTCCATAGAGAAGCAATTCTTGGCCATGCCCAAGAAGGTGACAGCGTTTGAAGGTGACATGGAAGCTTCGGTAGTTCTAAAATGCAGCAACCAGATTTATATTGGGAGTACAGAGGTATGATCACATCTCTCCCAATCCTGACATTCCTGCAAATGCTTCTTGTTTGCTTCCATGCCCAATTCAAAGTACTGGTGTGTGAGTATGTACACACATATATAAATTGTACAAATTACACACACACACACACACACACGCACAGAGAGAGAGAGAGAGAGAGAGAGAGAGAGATGTTGTTCTTGTTTAGTCGTTAAGTCATGTCCAACTCTTCTTGACCCCATGGACCAAAACACACCAGGCCCTCCTTTCCACTGCCTCCCAGAGTTTAATCAAATTTGTGTTGGTCGATTTGATGACACTGTCCAACCATCTCATCCTCTGTTGTCCCCTTTCCTCTTGCCTTCACATTTTCCCAAAATCAGGGTCTTTTCCCGGGACTCTTCTCATGAGATGGCCAAAGTATTTGTACCTCAGCTTCAGGATCTGTCCTTTCAGTGAGCCTTCAGGGTTGATTTCCTTCAGAATTGATAGGTTTGTCCTCCTTGCAGTCCAGGGGACTCTCAAGAGTCTCCTCCAGCACCACAATTCAAAAGCATCAATTCTTCTGTGGTCAGCCTTCATTATGGTCTAGCTCTCACTTCCATACATCGCTACTGGAAAAACCATAGCTTTGACAATGCAAACATTTGTCGGCAAGGTTATGTCTCTGCTTTTTAAGATGCTGTCTAGCTTTGTCCTCACTTTCCTCTCAAGAAGCAGGTGTCTTTCAATTTCGTGGCTGCTGTCACTATCTGCAGTGATCATGGAGCCCAAGAAAGTAAAATCTGTCACTACCTCCATATCTTCCCCTTCTATTTGACAAGAGGTGATGGGACCAGTGGCCACGATCTTAGTTTTTTCTGATGTTGAGCTTCAGACCATTTTTTGCACTCTCCTCTTTCACCCTCATTAAGAGGTTCTTTAATTCTTCCTCACTTTTTGCCATCAGAGTGGTATCATCTACATATCAGAGGTTGTTGATATTTCTTCCGGCAATCTTAATTCCGGTTTGGGATTGATCCAGTCCAGCCTTTTTCATGATGTATTCTGCATGCAACTTACATAAACCGGAGGACAATATCCAGCCTTCTTGTACTCCTTTCCGAATTTTGAACCAATCAATTGTTCCATATCCAGTTCTAACTATGGCTTCCTGTCCCACGTATAGATTTCTCAGGAGATAGATAAGGTGGTCAGGCACTCCCATCTCTTTAAGAACTTGCCATAGTTTGCTGTGGTCCACACAGTCAACGGCTTTTGCGTAGTCAATGAAGCAGAAGTAGATGTTTTTCTGGAACTCTCTGGATTTTTCCGTAATCCAACGCATGTTAGCAATTTGGTCTCTAGTTCCTCTGCCCCTTCGAAATCCAGCTTGTACTTCTGGGAGTATTCGGTCCACATACTGCTGAAGCCTACCTTGTAAGATTTTGAGCATACTCTTGCTAGCGTGTGAAATGAGTGGAATTGTATGGTAGTTGGAGCAGTCTTTGGCACTGCCCTTCTTTGGGATTGGCATGTAGACTGATCTTTTCCAATCCTCTGGCCACTGCTGAGTTTTCCAAACTTGCTG